CCCCCTTGTAATTTCTGTGTTACTACTGTTTCTGCAGTGCTGTAAAATATTCCCCTTAAACATGACCTTTCCTGCTCTGTGGTACTGTAACATTTTTATGCGAGGGGGATGATCTTTATTAATACCTTTGGTATTTACAGTAAAAAACGCTGCTTGCAAGGATGCTAACTTGGGTGGTGATGTGGATTTCACGAGAATTTCCAGCATTACATTTGCTTCCTTATTTAACTGCTAACTGTGAAACTTCTTACCTTGCAGGGATGGAGCAGGGTTTTGTGGGCTGACTTCTATTCCTAGTAATCAGTCTGTGACGATACCCTTTCCTTAACAGTCATTTCTCTTTTTCCTTTTTTTGCTCTTTAAAATGTGCTGCCAAGACTGCGTAATGTTTGCTTTCTGAGAATGACTGTGGGCCTTCTTTTTAACCAGAGTGTGGTTTGCAGTCTGAATGACAGTGATACCTAAACAGCCAACCTGAAAAGCTTTATGTTTAGGGAAACCCTTTGAGAGTAGGGCCTTTTCAGCACCACTGTGCAAGGTCATTACCATTGAAAATGCAATTTAGTACAGTGCACTGAAAAGTTTTGGAAGTTGAGGCCAATTCCCTGATTGCTTACCTTGCCTTTTTCCCTTTAGTATTTTATTGTGGCAGAGGTCCATGAGCAGGCTGTAAAGATGTGCTTGTTGGGTACAGGGCTGGATCCAAACCTGTTTCTGAACACACCTGAGATGTTTGAGCTGAATGTGTTGAGGGGAGTACGAAATCCAGTTCAGGGTTCTGGCAGCTCGAGCCCCTCTCAGGACGGAGAAAGAGAAAATGTATTTGTGAGGGCTGTAAATAAGTTGCCATCTCTGCTCTCCATGGCATTTGTGTGTTCTTGGAAACTTAAGTTTGGTTCATAATATCTTTCCACGTTCTTCAAAGTCCTGAAAGATAAAGAAATAAATGAAGGAGCAGGATTACCCTCTCTGGAATAAATCACAGCGTTTCCCCTTGTTCTCTTTAGGCAGTAATGTGTAGCTCATCGGTGATTTTTCAAAGCATGGCAGAAAGCGTCATATCATCCTGCCTTTTTCCATGTCACCCTCAAGGACTGCATTCAGCTTCGGGGTGGCAGCTTTCTATTTTAAGAGGGAGAAGGCACTTTTAATAGCGGCTAGTTGGTGTGACCTTTTTGGAGATGGATTGTGAGAACCTTCCTTTTCCAGAGAAGTTAATTCTGAGGGGTGGCCAAAACAGCAATGATTCTCTGCATGGTCTCTGTAGGTCTCCATGTCAAAGTTTTAAAGGCTTCTCCCCCATGCTCTTCTAACGAGTTGCATTTTTTTGTCTTTATATAGTGGTGTTGTATTAATGGCTGTAAAGCGAGCCTAAAATACCTTGTGTTAAGCGTGTAGCGAGAGGATGAAACCGGTGTGCTCCCTGTTACGTCTGAACGTGGCTGGCAGCCTTGGTAAAAAAGGGAGTGCTGAACAGTGACATTTACAGAAATATTCTGAAAAGGCTTTGGCTTTCAGCTTTCTTTTTAACCCCGTTCAGCCTTCAGCCCTTGTGTTGATACTTTCCTGTAAGGAAACATCGGTTGCCTTGCTGCTTCGTGTTAGCCAGCTTGGGAAACACGAGTGAGAAGGGATGCCTGCTCGGGGCGCGCAAGGGAAGTTGCCGGCGCAGTTAGGCAGCGGAACTGCTGCCCGTTTATTTTGATGTGCAAAGACATTGGTTTTCGGTTGGGCTTCAGCGTTGGTTCCAGTCTGGTGAGCACAAAACTGTAAATGTAGCTGTTTGCCCATGCCACCGCAGTCGGTGTAGGTGTCTGGTGAGGTCAGGTACAGATGTAGTCAGATTGCTGCTGCTCAGTGGAAGCAATTGCAAATGCAAGTAATTGCACACAGCTTCAAAGACCATTTTACAAGTTTAAAGTTGATGCTCTTAGGGAGGTTATTAATATGCTATCTCTTGATTATGGTCGGGGAAGGAGTTGTAAATGGATAGTGGTCTGATTTTTCTCTGTCTGCAGCTACTTTTTATGGCAAAGAGTACCAGGCATCACTGAAGAAAGAAAAAGCTGACCTCCTAACTTTTAAGGGACGTTACCTGCACCAACATTTATAAATAGATGTCTAAATATGCATGCAAGTTTGGGAGTTTGCTTACATACAACTCATACATGGCTTGGCATGGCAAAAAATTGCCCCGACGAGAGCCAGCGCTAACTCGGAAGCTGAGCGTGCCAGGGAATGGGAGGTTTGATGCAGTTCTTCTTTGATTCACAGTCCTTCCTGCAAGCTTAGCTTACGCGTGCGCATGCACGCGTTTTTTCACAAAGGACATGGATGTTGACACAAAACACAACACGGGCATGGGGGAAGGATGAGGTCTCCTCAAGCTGTTCCCATCAGCACCACTCCACTCGCCTGTGGGTATCGTGAGGCAGGATGGCAGAGGGATCACCGCAGCCATACGGGTGGAACTGGGAGCAGAAGCCTTAGTTGGTGAAATGCAATGAGGATAAGATTCTGCACTGGAGCTGGAGATGGCTGAGCACGTGCTCCACAAGATGTTTTTCAATCTTACAGTACGATTTGAAAATGCAGGCTGACTTGCAAAGTAGTAACCTTACAAGGACCATACATTCTCTTCAGAAGTGTGACATGGTTTGGGAAAGACCTACATTTTTTTTGAAAGTTGTTGCTTCTTGTGTTTTGTTCAGAGTTTCTCTGCTACCAAAATTTGTCTTTATTTGTGAATAACTTGGAAATCTGGAAGTCAACAAGCCCAAATGGATTTTGAAATGTCTGTGGTATTTAGAAGGCATAGAGAAGTAAAACCAAGGCTGATATGTTTATTTTTGTCAGCTTAACCCCATTCATGTTCTCCTGATTTGAGTGGCAAGGAAATATTAATAAAAATTCCAGCACAATAGCAAATCAGTTTGAGATTATGACTGATTTTTTTTTAAACTATATATATTTACATATGTATATATATTTATATATTTCAGATTTCTTGTTGGTTTGTTTTTGTTTTGTTTATTTTTAATTAAAATTTGGCATGTGGAAAGGGGGAACAGAAAGCTCAAATTACTTTGGACAAGAACTTCATTGAGTGCAAATTATTTGTCACTTCTTAATTTTGACAATTTACACTAAATTGCTGGATAAACCTGCTACCTCTACTAAGCCACATTTTTCTTCATGCCCCACTAGTGGGAAATCTACCTGTTTACACAATGGTGTGTTTGCTTTTTTACAACATCTGCAACTCTATTTATGCATCTGCTCATAAACTTGTCTTTAAACAATTCTAAAGAATTTTTTTTTTTTTTTTGCCATCTGTACTCTATTTTCTACAGGTTTTATGGCTGCCTGGTGAATACTTAAGACTTCTGTGCCTCTCGTTGTCTTCCTACAGTTTTTGCATGGGCAGAAGTACTGCTGCTGTGGAGTTAATAGCTTCATCTGTAGACCACAGAGATGTGGTATCATTAGTCTTCAGAGAGAGGTTGATAGGTCGTATCATTTCCAGTCCAGCCTGGTTGTGTCAGATGTGCTAAGCGTGAGTGCTGCTGGGCTGGTGGCCGTTCCCCAGATGACCAAGCGGAAGGCTCGTTGCATTGACTGCCACTAGGAACTGCATGACAGGTTACGTTATAGGAGCACTATAGGGTTGCATTATAGGAACTGCACTGCATTTACATTACAAGAGCAGAGGAGAGGAAATGAAGGACCAAATGTGTCTTTTCATTACGATTTATTTAGGTGAAATCCCGTGATCTGTTACACGGGAAAGGTATTTGTGGCTGCAGTATCACATTAACAGCGTACCCCGTTCATGAAAGATGTAGTCTTCAAGCATATGGGCTGTATAGGATGGAAATGCATTACTCTGAATCAGCATTGTTAGATAAAGATTAGATCAATTTTGTTTCTCATTCAATAATATTTTTAATGCTTCATTAAAAGGCTTCTTGTTCTAGGAATTCTAGGCTTCTGTGAAATTTGGAATTCTAGTAAACAACTTAATTAGAATATGTTTAAATTTTACAGGTGAGAGATTTTAAGAATAACATCTGCATGCTGTCTTGTTTCCTGATTATCATCAGATAGTCTAGTTTTTACATCACTTCTAATATTGAATGGCACAGCTACTAAGTGGAGTCCTGGGAGAGGAGGGAATATCTGTTGTTGTAGTTATTGGTCTCATTGAACTGTGATCATTGGCAAATCTGCATCTTTTTTTAGTGATGGCAAAAAATGTTGAAACCGATTGAAAGCTATAGGTTTGCCTTGTTGAGCCTGATCCTTGGAATGGAGTTTTAGTAGCATTCAGCAAGTAGGATTAATTAAAAAAAAAAAAAAAAAATCAATCCTCCGCAAACAGCATGTTTTCATAAATTAGTAAGTATTGTTTCTGGATAGAACTCCAGAGGGAAGGATTCTTACTATTGACTTGCAGATAGTTAGGAGCTCAGGTTTGCTGACGCTTAAAATTTCACATGCAGTTCAAGGGATTACCTGGAATACCTGAGCCTCTTGACTCTGGACACTGGATCAGAAACCTCCTCATCCACTGACACTCCAGCTCTGCAAACAAATGAGACAGTTTATAAACAATTATAAGACAAAGTTCTTGTCCCAAAGCCTCTAATAAAAATCTGCAGTACTGGGCTGTCAGCCTCCTTGTAGCATTTTATAAATGTACGGTATGGTCTTACCCTGGGTGGAGTGTAAAGCAAAGAGAAAACTGGAAGCGAGTAGCTGGCAGAGGAAGCCTGAAATAAATAATAGTAATAAAAGCAGAAAGCAACACAGCAAGAGACCCTATTTAGGCTTTCTAAGCAGAGGGGATGGTGTGAAAAGATATGTGAGTGCATAAGCAAATAACAGCCCTGGAAGGTGGGAAGAGAAGTGGCAAAGCACAGCTGAGCATTTAGTTGGAGATGATGCTGTGCAAGCATCAGCATGTTTGAACTTTGGAAGTGAGAAGGATGTGCAAGAGGCAAGCAAGCAGAGAACGGATTTGAGGAAAAATGTGATGGGCTGCCTAAGGAATAGGGAGAAGAAACCAGATGATCTGCAAGTTAGACGCCTGGATGATTCTTCACAAAGAAGAATTTGTTTTAGATTTGAGGTTACTCTGCTTTTATTGGAGAAATGCAACTTGTGGTTATTTGGCATCAGCTGGAATCTGGAATGAAAAAGGGTCTATAAAAAAAATTACCTCATCCTTAAGTAAACCTAGAATTTGCACAGATTGTGGATTTAGAGGATCACTGGTAGAATCATAGAATCGTCTAGGTTGGAAAAGACCTCTGAGATCATCAAGTCCAACCGCTAACCTAACCCTGCCATCCCACCACTAAACCATGTCCCTAAATAATAACATTCAGCTGCATTTTCATCCTGTGCTCTAAGCATGGATGCCAGTGTGGGGTTTTTTTGGAGTACAGCAATGAGATTTACAGAATACCATTTATTGCTCTCTAGCACCCTTGCTTCCCTCTACCCCCACCTCCTTGTGTGGTACGAGGATGTCAGCGGTGAAGTGTGCAGCACCTGGTCAGGAACACAGAAGAGGACAGCTGGAATTGTACATGTGGCAAATGCAAACACTTTAAAGTCCGATTTTTCCTAAGTAGGGCCTTGATGGTTTTTGTTTGGAATTAATTTCATTGAAGTAGGTCATTCAAGTAATTATCTCATGGTACTCCTATTCTGTAGAGTTCTTCAAAGCCAGGAACATTTCAGTAGGTAAAAAAGATGACCTGCATTTTGCTTCACCCCTTTCTTTGAATTGCAATTTCTTTTCAGAAAGTTACAAGTGTTACAAGAATGGTCCAAACATGATTAACCCATGGGAAATACCTGAATTCAAAGGATGGTTTTTTCCTGACTTCTCTTTGAAAATTACAATTTTCAATAAAATGCAGCTTCCTGGTACCAGAAAGCTTTCAAACCTGGAAAAATTGCAATAAGGATTTCCATTAAAAGAAACTTCATATTTCATTTAGCAAAATTTTTCTTCTTTAGGTACAATATTTTTTTGCTAAATTACTTTTTGAACCTTTAATAGAATTAAACCAGATTTCACCTAAGTTATGAACTTGATTTGCTGGAAGTTCATTAGAGATGTGGTAGGGAAATTTTTGCTTTATTTGTGTTAAAAGTCTAAAGTGTTCTTGTTCCCAAGATCCCTTTGACTTTCCTATTTGGGGCACAGGTTCATAGCAGAACCTGTGGGGGTTTTGTGCTGCGGTTCTGTAATTTTGCAGGACCCCAGCTTCGCTCTCTGCATTATTCAGACTGCAAAAAGCATTTTTTCTAAAGGAGGGAGGAAAAAGAGGTGAAGGAAAGAATAGCGCAGATGGGAAGGCGGGCGTTGCACACTTCAGGAGGGCATTAAGTGGAAGAGTTAAAAGACGGCTGGATTTGTGTTCCAGGTTTCTCCGTGTGAGAAGTGTCGCTGTGAAGCCAATGGTGAAGTGCTGTGCACTGTCTCAGCTTGTCCCCAGACGGAGTGCGTGGATCCGGTGTACGAGCCCGATCAGTGCTGTCCTATCTGCAAAAATGGTAAGTGACGACTGCGAAACTGGAAGGGGGCTTCTGTTGGAGAGATCCACGTTGCTCTGTTCTGGTTTTGAAAAATAATTCCAACATTTTCCTTTTTCCCCATATGGAGATGGAGAGGAGTTTTCTGTGGGTGGTGTCTTCCCAGTGTGAGGAGCCACATCTTCCCTTGACTGGGATGGACTCGATGGTGACCTACAGGGACTTGTGTTACCCAGGAGACAATTAGGGTGTTAATACCAGATATTCATGTGGCTTCTGAGTACAAATTTTGCATGAACTCACTGTGGTTATGTTTTATATAGGCACAGAAAACAGAACTCAGGCTCTTCACGTTACCTACCTTTCAACATGAGCAGTAAAAGTTACTTTTGTTCTCCCTTCTTATTTGTTCCTCTTTCAGAGATTCTTCTCTCTTTTTTTTTCCTGAGGCAACTCAAATGTACCTTATTGAGCTCATTTAATTTTCATAACTAAATGAATTAAACTCCCAAGTTTAATTGAATATTTTTCGTAACTAAATTAGACAGAAAGTCTCTGTACTCCCAGCAAGGGCTTGCATTAGATCAAAGTCTTGGTCTATTTAGAGGAAAAAATTACATGACACACTAGCTCATCACTTACACAGAAGAAATGATAATTTATTAATAGAAATGAAAGCTGCAAAATCTCAAATGAAATTATATTTAAAATGAAAAAAGATATTTAAAAATATTCAGATAATTTGAAGCCATATATTATTTCTCTAGAATAGGTGGATTCCATTACATTAGCTAAAACAAACTGATTAAAATTGTGCAAAAGCTAGGGGAGGAGAGAGTGTACAGCATATGCTTTCCGCAAATTCAACAGCAGATGATAAGGGATAGTTAATTGCATTGGAGGAGTTTCATTTGTATGGGTATAAAAGTAATTGCTTCACATCCCTTAATTGGTTGTTACAACCCTGAAGGAATTTGTTCTCCGCTGTACAGCTTAAGGGCACTCTGCTTATGGAGATGAGGACAGGCATGTTTTGCAGCATTTAGGGAGAGTTCCTGAAAAAGGCTGAATTTGGGAGCTGGTGGCATGATAGCTAACCATGACGGAGGATCCTTCGGCACTTGTTCGATGGCAAGAGCCTTCTGACATGCTTACAGGCTTTTCGTGCGCACCACTCTCTGCGGCAGTTCCCTGGGTTGGGGTGACTCTTGGCAGGCAAAAAGCTCTGTTTTCAGCATCAGGGATGGAGTTACAAGTATAATGCATGAAGTCTACATAGTCTTTCCCACTGAATTCCTTCAGCAGCGTTAACACCATTTGGAGCTGGGTCGACTTTCCACTGGTGCACATTCTCCCACAAGCATTGACATAATGCACTGCAGTGGCCCTCTCCAAGCGGTGGCTTGCCTTTGGGATAAGGTAGTACGGCAGTGTGGGGCTTGGCTCGGTTGTTTGCATAGAACCCCTGACATCTTTCCCAGAAATGGGCCCTGTTTAAAAAAATCACACAAAAATATGCCTTGGTTGTGAGGAGGCTGCCCTCTCCGAGTGCTAAAGCTGAATTACCCGAGTTCTGCCTGCAAGAAAAGGGTGGTCTTATTCCTCAGCATCTGAATCCCCAATATTGATTGCATATTCCTTGGGTATACCCACAAGCTGGCATCCCTGACCCAGTTTCAGACCAAGGTGACCAGAGCTGACTGTTTCCAGCGAGCTGTACTGTCACTTCTCTGCATGTCAGAGGAGCAAGAGGGGCTTTCCTTGTTAGCTTTTAGATGAGGAAAAAAGCCGTTAACAATAACAACAAAACCAAGATAGTTCAGAAGAAGCTCGACTTTTCTGGTTC